ATTTTGATTTAAATTAATATTTTTTTGTTTTTTCTTTCCCTTTTTATTTAATAGAATTGTAAATCATAGATAATAGATAGGAAAAAGAAAAAAAATCTAAATAGCTGTTGGTGGTCGATTAACATTCACTTCAGGTTTTGTAAGTAACTTAAACAGAACTGCAGCTGCTATGGCTATCACAAGAGGAATAACCCATTTAGTCCACGATAATCCAGCATCATCACGAGCAACACCTGTACTACCGTTTGGTTTGGCAATTACAGGACGAGTCTTAAAAAAGAAGAAAAATAAAATAATTAAAATTTTTGAAGTATTTTAAAGATAAACTTTTTACCGGTGTCTTAATATCACTCTAGAAGTAGAGAAAGCAAAAAAAAAAAGAGGAAGTGAGTAGATTAAAATAAAGAATATAAATTAACTTACAGGATCAACTTGAGCTATTTCAAATTGTTTCATTTGTTCCCGTGCATCGGAACTATGACCAACATCTTCAAAAGCATTGGTTGCATCTCTACCATGTTGTTCTTTTAAGACTTCTTCACCACCTGGATGCTTAAAAATATTGAAAAACAAATATTTTTAGTTAAAATCTGCTAGTGATATCATTACAAACCTCTTCAAGGAATCTTGTAACATCATATACACGATTATTGATCGTCAGTATACATCTATCTTTATCTTCAGCTAATTTTCGAATTTCGGCTAGTGTAAGTATCTTTGTATTGGAAGTAACATCAGTAGAAGCCATCTTTTTATTTTTTTTGACACAATTGAAGAAATGTTGCAGAAAGAAAACAAATAATGAATCTGAAATAATGATATATATACAATTTATCAAAGACCAACATGACTTCTTCACTTGTTTAAAGAAAAAAAAAAGGCGGTCTCTGTCCGTTGGCAGCCATAATGATATCATTTGTACCGCATAAAATGAATTTAATCAGTCGTTTGTCAATAATATTTAACCAATCCTAAACCATGACAACAATAATTTTGAAGTATATATGCTAATATATACTTAAATTATTCATATTAACTAAATATTGATGTTTTTATAGTTGATTAATTATAAAAAGCAGACAATGATAAATAGATGTCGCTATAAACTGCCCCCCTTAGTTCGTTTTATTATTTGATCAGGACAATATATTTAGTAAACAGTTCTCAAATAGAAATTAATGATTTTTATGAACAGCCGGAATCGAGTTATCTGCTATTATGTGTTACAGATATTAAATAATAGAAGAAAAGTATTTCAAAAACATTCCATAATGTACGTTATACTGGTGTTCTTTTCTTTAAAATATATTCGGAAACTACTTTCTTCTCGAATAATTTGAAATCATCGTAATAAATAATTCGATTTTAGATAGGGTAATATTATCTGCAATCATTTATAGCTGAAACTGGAAGTTGCAAACACTACCAGCGGTGATGTCAACAAACAGTTAACATGAAGAATGTAATTTTTTTTTAATTTGCAGTATTAGTCTTTCTAATATTTTGATTGATTATCCATAAAATGTTCAATGAATGACTGGTATCACATAGCGTCTCTTTTTCATGTCTTATTTTTTAAGGAAAAAGTTAAGTTTTGAAGAAAAATATTTGATTGAGTCGATTAATTTGGAAGAATCAATGCATCTTGAAAAAAAACTAAGACCGATAGCATGATTGAAAATTTTCCCTACGGACACACGGT